GCAGGGGAAACCATGCAATCCCATGTCTCCAGCATTTGCTATTCCTGCCATTTGGGCTGGTTAGAGAAAGGGGTGGTGGGGGATGATCATGAGATGGCGGTCATGAGAGATTAAGTTATCACAAAGGACGCTTCTTCCTCTGCGCCTATCAACAGTGAATAAGTGTTTGTACTTTGGGCAACAATTGAACGGGATGTACAGTAGAAAGGCATCATGGCACACTCACAAACCAGCATGTAAAACAACTTGTCTCACCACTAAGGACAATGACAGAGGTTTGGATACACGTCTTCTGCAAAGGATGTGTAAGCCGCACTGCCGCGCCAAGGCACCTCTTATAGTGACCTTACTGTATAACTGGTGACAAATTGTTGAGTGCGTTTGTCGTTTGTTTTGCTTTAACAATGGAACGGGGTCCCATATCTGTTCTTGCACAAGGGGCCCCTGGGTGACTTTGTCTTTACCTTTACCCGAACTACGGTTCAGTGGAAGTCCGCGACTGAACTCAGCAAGCGTCTAAACTCTAGCAGGAAGAGGAATGGCCCCTCCCTCGATGAGTTTTGGAGGCCTTTCCTTTGAAGTGTCCAGCTTGGAAGGGGATTAGGTAGAGAGTGTGAAATGTTAGCGTGTAATGGCTGGAAATAGCAGCGGCACAACCTTTTCGGCTAAGCGCTTTCCGAGCGACATGGAAAATCCTTTGCTCTTTTCGAAAAAGGACAACTCGGAACCGAGGCATTTCAATCCGGCTTTACAAATAGTTGGAGGCGCGCCAAATCAATGGCCGGACTCGCGGGGAAGGTTCAGTTAAGCTTCAAGAGCACGCCATTTAGCAGGATCGCTCGGCGCGAAAAATCGCGGGAGGCTTAAAATAAATCGATGCGAAACGAAAACACAACAACAAAGGCAAAAACGGACGTGGAGACTCGGCGGAAGAAAAACTTTCAAATTGAAATGCTAAAACGAGTCCGGTATGTGACTTCCTCCTGAGCACCTGAAGCAGAGCTCCAGCCCAAAAGGTAACAATGAGTCACCCAGCAAGAGAAAAATAACAAAACCTGCTTTTGCTGCAACAGTCGCCGTCAGTCCAATGATTTCCCCCCGCAGTACTTTTTTCTACCATTAGTTGTGACAGCGTGGTCCGGAGGAGAGACAAGGGGGGTGTCCCAAAGTCGGGGGCCTCTCCCATCGCTTCCTGGCCTTGGTGGATACATTGCGCTTCAACTGTGACAGCGTATTCTGGAAAGGAAACATGGGGGTCCCCTGGCCTCGGTCTGATGGCCAGCATCGTTCAATACACTTCCTCTGAGCCCAGGTCATCCTAGACCCTGCCCATAGCCTATGACTGGACAATGATGGAAGAAGCAGCAAAGTGATGAGCTCATGTTTCCACCTGACCGTCACTCGTTCACTGCTAATCTTTGATTTGCTAAAGTCTATGGAAATAAAACAGTATGAAAGAAAAAGGAAGCATTTTCTCAGTCTCCCCTCCCCCCAGTGATCAGTCAGCTACAGGCAAGGCAGGAGGAAGCAATTCCTCAGTCTCCCCTCCCCCAGTCATCAGTCAGCTACAGGCAAGAGGAAGCATTTCCACAGTCTCCCCTCCCCCAGTGATCAGTCTGCTACAGGCAAGAGGAAGCATTTCCTCAGTCTCCCCTTCCCCGGTGATCAGTCTGCTACAGGCAAGAGGAAGCATTTCCTCAGTCTCCCCTCCCCCTAGCGATCAGTCTGCTACAGGCAAGAGGAAGCATTTCCTCAGTCTCCCCTCCCCCAGTGATCAGTCTGCTACAGGCAGGAGGAAGCATTTCCTCAGTCTCCCCTCCCCCAGTGATCAGTCTGCTACAGGCAGGAGGAAGCATTTCCTCAGTCTCCCCTCTCCCAGTGATCAGCCTGCTACATTGTAACTTCTTATCTGTTGTCAGACATTCGTGAACAGAGCCAAGTACTGCACAGGCACCAGGAATGACACGTCTGTGCCATCTGTACTGCTGTACTGTCGTCTTCATTCCGGAGTCTTGTCGCAGTCTTCCGTAACAAGTCAATTTGCTCTTTCCCGGGTCAGTTCTGTGGAATTAAAGGGCTAATTGATGGCAAACATTGTATGATAATTACAGTCTGCGAGTCCCGTGTGATAATGACATGTTGCGTGTCAACCAGAACAACATAAGTGATTAATATTATGGCTGCCGAGTCTCATGCGGTCGGCACGCGGAGAGCGCGGATCATTTCAGGCATAATTAGGCGACGGCGCCGTGTGAATTTCTGGGAAGCGATTGGTCTGCGGGTAGTTACATGTGATATTCATGTAACAAGCGTGTAATTACCGTCCTGCAGAGTCCCTTCTCCTGCATTATAATTGAGCGGGGGTGGAAATTAAAGGGAAATCCAGCCGTGAATATTGGTTTTATAAGAAGGATTTTCCATAGCACCCGGCAATATGGATGACATGATGACCCTTCCTCCGGCCGGGGGGGTGGGAATACCGTCTGCAGAACGCTACAATGGATTTTCCCTCCGGGTGACAAAAACATACTAACAAGAAACCATCAAATGTAACACTTTCGCTTTTTATTGAACTTCCTGTCTTACTGAATCAAAAAGAGTTGTAGGCACAGGAAGTGCTCTGAGATCAGGAGTGGCTAGGCACAGGAAGAACACTTCTATTTTTCAGAAAGACGGAAGGTAGATTTTTTCCGGGTACTTCTTTGGCACAATCGACATTTCCGGATGTTCCCTATAAAACAGAATCTTCACTTATGCGAATTGCATTCCTGGAAATTGTATCTGCACCCACAATGGCCAGCAGAAGGAACCTCTAGAGAGGAAGTGACACAATGTAACAAATAAGACGGCACATTCATTGATAAGGAAAAGAAGTTTGGATTTCCGTACCCGCTCTCTGGTCTCGTTGGAAAGGAATTTTGCGCACTCGGTGTAGTTGGCCCATGTACGGTTGTTGCCCGACACCAGCTCCCAGCTCCCGTTCTGGTCGCATCGGCGATGTGCTTGACCTATCGGAGAAGAAAAAACAATATTAATATTAAAACTAACATTTTGCCTGAAGGCCGAAGTTCTAAAGTTGGAAGCTGGGAAGAAGCAACAATGACACCTATGATGCCGCCTGTCGGTAGCGTAGACACAGCAGTTTTTGCTTTTCTTTCTCTCCCCCGTACAATGGTTTTATTATCTGCTGATCCTGCCAGTAGAGCTGTGATTTTTCTTCTTCCTGTAACAGGGTGACAACGCTGTTCATTCCGCAGTGAAATCAAAGAGGCGTTGCCACCCTGTGGAAAGGGTATTCTCAGATTTTTTTGGGGGTAAAAAAAAGGTTTAAACTAAATGTGGAAAAAACCCAAAAACATTATGAAAAAAAGCTCAAATATTCTTATATCCATGCGTACACCGGCAGCTTCTAAACAAGGGTGACGTCATGGGCCTTCCAGTAAAATCTTGGGAAAGCCGCGGATCCCAAATCTCGTGAGAAGACACTCCTGTATAGTGCTGTAGGGGTGTAAGATTTTGTATTCAGTGTTCTCTGTACAGCACTGCGTACAGAGAATATGTATATGTCAGAGAATCTGTATATGTCAGAGCTATATACATGTATAATAATAGTGTGTGACTGAGGGGGGACATTAGAGTGTCAGCTCCTCTGTACAGAGACTGATGTGACTGTGGGGGAGGGGACATTAGAGTGTAAGCTCCTCTGTACAGAGACTGATGTGACTGTGGGGGGGAGGGGACATTAGAGTGTAAGCTCCTCTGTACAGAGACTGATGTGTGGCTCTAGGAGTGAGTAAAATGTATAATATTATATGGTAAATAAGATACACAGGATTCTTTGTGAATAGAGCCATCGGGGGGGGGAGGGGAGGGGGGATAAGGGACATCCATCAGTTGATTATCTCTCCTCCCTCTATAAAGCTCTCTCTTATTATCTCGGCTTCGATATGTAACGTTCGGAGCGATACAATAAAACGACATATAAATACGAGAGGCGGAGAGAAGAATGGAGTCACATTATCCCGGCGCTCCTCTATAGACACACAACAGAGAACAAAGCGATTGTAATGCCGCTCTCTCCGTATCTTCCTCCCCTAGCAGCCGGATTAATGGACAATAAGCTTTGATGGAGAGTAACGTTCAGTCACACACAGGACGCTAGTGAGCAGCCGCTGAACTGCCGCGTTACATATTGTAAGTACGCGGCGGTAATGATGAACATCACACCGGCGGATTCCGTAGTCTTCAAAACGATGAATAACAAATCGAGAATGAAACAATGAGACAACGTATAAAATACTTTCCGAGTGAGAGAAACATATTGTAAAGCTGCAATGATTTATCTTGGCGGGGGGGGGGGATTCATCTGTACATCCCTGACCTGTTCCTGAATTCTGTCACTGGCTAGAAAAAAGCTCATTGGGGCTGGCATGGCTGCAGGCAGCAGATCCAGTTTGTTCATCATTTCTCTCCAGCGGCTTTTATTGCAGCCTGAGCCAACATTTCAGATGGTGTGCAAGGGATGATGAGAGTTATTATAAGAAAGAAATACAGGTAATTAAACAAATAGTGTAACAGGCAAGACTATTGCAACTCCCTCCTCATTGGCCTACCTCTACACAGGCCCCTCCCCCCTTCAGTCTATCATGAATGCAGCTGCTAGACTCATCCACCTAACCAACCGCTCAGTGTCTGCAACCTCCCTCTGCCAATCCCTACACTGGCTTCCATCCCCCACCCCCCTCTGTCAATCCCT